CTGCATTGAGTCTTCATTTTATTATGACAAAATCCTCTATCGGCGCTATAGAAACACTGCATGTAGTGTTACTGTTACTTCAGAATTAATGTAATCAATCAGAGATACTGAAGACACAAAGTGTTTTCATGGGTCATACATCTTGTAGTGAAAAGCACCTGACCTGTGTTTTCTGAGATGGGGTCAGACTCACACACATTGTCCCATATCGGCTCTTGTACTCAGGAGCACTGATACCTTCTCTTGTGGGCAAAACCGGCTTCCCATCAATGCCATCCAGAGGCGTGAGGAAACATCTGAGCACAGAGAAAGGAAGGAAATGCTCAGCTTATAAACAGATGTAAGTTAAAACTAAAGAGCAACTTGAAAACATCTTGATTTGTGTCCATTGGTGTAAAAGCATTGAGAATATATCTCATAACTGGCCTGTAGAAGTTAGCACAGGATTACCCATATACAAACACTAGACAATGTTGCTAACGATATGCCACTACTCCATCCATGAGCTAGCTGTTGCAGTAAAATCTTTTCATATAATCCGTGTTCCACAGGATTTTACAATCAAGTATGACCAGTAGAACTGTTTTAATAAGTCATTTGTGGAAGTAGCTACTAATCTCCTGTACTCTGCCCTCTGGGTTGAAAGGAAGCAGTGTCAGCACAGCACATTCTTCAGAAGAGCTCTAAGGTTTTGCAGCTAAAATCTGCGATTTAAAATTTCCCCACGGCACAGAACCTGGTATTTCCTATAACAAACACTTCCTGTCTCAGGAAGTTAGCGTGTGTGTTCACGTAGTCTAAGCTTAAAGTTCAGCTTGATCACAACTTGGGAATGAACTTTTGCTTTGATCTATATCAGAGACACTATTTTTGAAAGGCAAACAGCTCCTCACATCCCACTCTAAAACTTTTGCAATGCAGTGATTTATTTTTCAGTTAGAACGAAGTGTATTTTTGAGATTGCTGCAGTAATGGCAATAAAATAAGCAGTAAACTAAGCAAAGGTATTGGCGGCTGTACTGAAGCAGTCTTGATCCCTTCCAAACTAATTTTTATGTCTTCTATAAATACTAAATACTACAGTATTAAGATTTTAAAAGGCTTTTACAAACTGTCTTCCCTGTCAGTAAAGGACTCCATCTTGTATCTTCACTTAGGAAGATGTGTTCAGTAGATGCTGGTGGGCTCCCTAATTCTTTGTGTTGCTGCTGTGCAGTTTGCATCACCTAGCTTCACTCCTTGAACTAGTTCACCTGTTGTAGTCCTTAACAAAGTGGAAGGCAAAATGAGATCGGCAAAATATCATCTGTATAGATTTTGGGAATAGACACCAATTCCAGCCTTAGTCTTGCACAGGAAGTCTGTCTGTCAGAACAGGATTTGTCTTAAGAGAGTCCCAGTTATGGGAAAAAGCCAATATTTGGCCCTGCTGAGATTTCAGCCATATCACACCAGACAACTGCATCCATCTCTGTATATCATAGTTGTTTGAAAGGAGGATGGGTGTCAAAAAGACCCCTTCACAGTGTTGATCTGGTACTGGCATCCCAGCTGCTGCAGGAGCAGACTGGAGTCTGCAGTTCTGTAGCTGGGGATGGCTAACCTCTGTTTATCTTGTAATTTTACAGGGTTCACATGGCCCTTCTTTAGAGCAACAGCTGCATTATTATTTGTTAGCAGTTCAATGGAAAGGAATAATGTCTGTTGAATTCTTTTTACCCTATAAACATTTTTCTTATTTTTTTCTTTCAAAAACAAAGGCATAATTAATTGAAAGATGAGGAAAAAGCCAGGCAGCAGAGGACCTACAAAAACAACTGTTACCTAGGTTGTGTGCTGTTCTGTCTTCATAACAACAGCTTCCAGCACCTGTAACTATAGGATGAAAAGGAGGAAGAAAAGCATTCAAATACAGGTGACCAGAGTTTATGAGGCACATGGGACTATGTATGAGGAGGGCTGAGCCCCCAGAACCACCTAGGCAAGCAGCGGCAAGCTGGTAATCCACAACTCCCCAGTTTTTCCTGCTTTCTCACTGGTGAGGCCAGATGCCTGGGCATCACTATACCACCGCTGTGGTACAAAGTGTTCTCCAGTCTCATGTGGAGCACATGTATGCTTGGTAGGGCTCTGTTTGAAAGCACAGTAACGTACCAGGATCCTGTCTGGTAGGAATCCAGGCAGTGGTGGTGTGGCGTTCACTTCTCTGCTGGCTGCGAAAGTATTTGGAGATTGATCTGTAATTGTCTAGCCAAATCTACCCATTCCACATTAGTCAAACTAACCACAAGGAAAAACTGTTTCTTTTGCTGAAATGCCCCCCTGCTAGCTCAGTTTCATGCTGTGCCTCCTGCGTGTAGGCTTCTGATACTGACCCACCTTTTGGGTCCACTCTGGGTAGGCAGAGCACTGAGCGCACAGAGGGGCCTTTTCTGTATTGCTCTGGATATACAGAAGATAAGGAAAAGTGTTTGGTGTTGCAGTGTCAAGTGCAGCTCTGGGAAGCAAAGGTAGCCAGGTTCACTTAGGTCAGTATATAATATAGATATTCTAGCTATATGTCTAATCACTTGTTTTTCTGTGCATAGATCTTGAATTTAGATGTGAAGGAACACCACTAAAGACCTGAGCAAAAGTTTCTAAACCAGTGTATACCTCTAGAGTGTAAGGCACTTTGAAGTGGCATTTGCTGTGGCATGCTGTCAGGTGTGGTGGTATTGACTCCTTCAATGACGGTGGGACCTTCACAAAGCAAAGACCACTTAGGAGGTCCTTGATCAGATTGTGGGTAACATCGTATAACTTTGAACATGCTTCATAGCATCACCTCTCAGGGCACCTTTTGTGCCCTGGAAGCAAGAGCTGCATTTCTGCCAAACTCAAGGGTATGTGTTGACTGTATCAGCTTTAAACAAGCTCCCAGAGGGAGAGAACAAGAAAGGATCCTGACTATGATGCTTAGTGTTTCAAGACTTTGCTCAGGGCAATTAGTTTTTATTCCCATTTTGTACAGTAAAAGTGAGCATTAAGGTTTACAGCTTAAAACCTAATGACTTCAGGTATCCCTAGAAGGCTCCCAAGTGATCAGCAGATGATGGCCTGTCTGCTAGGGCAGACTTAATTGCAGGGGTATGACCATCCTCAGCCCTTGCTCTAGTGTCATCTGGTGTGTCACTTGATGGGGTAGCAGCTGTGCCCTCAGACGTGCTTGGTTGTGCTGCGTCCCAGCATGGGTGGAGTGCACTCTTTCTACCTAACAAGCTTGCTGTTCTCCAAAATACTTGTCCTTACAAGCATGAAGGATGCTGTAAATGGGTGAAGCACTGAATTACTGAGTATGTCATGCTGTCTGTGTGTGCCAGCCTCAGAAGTCCATTATCAAGGTTGCTGGAGGCTAGAGCTGTGGGTGCAGAAAGTATAAACCGCTTAATTTTCTATATCATTATTTTACCCTAGTGGCTGTTGGAACATCAGTGATTAATAAGAGCTTGGAGAAGGCTGATTCACAGCCAGTTCTGATGATACTGCAGTCCAAGTTTGGATTAAGAGTCATTCCGGAGTGTGCTGAAACCTACTTCAGGAACCTCTCTGAAGCCAAGAATCTGAAAGCCAGAGAAGGTAAAAAACTTCCTGAGTAGCACAGTTCCATGTGAACGTATTACTGAGGCAACTGGAAAACTAACACAGAAGTCTCACTTAAAATCACTGTAAACTGAGGAAGGCAGTCACTGGTTTTAAATCTTCTGAGAAATGCCCAAGTGATTTTTATGTGATGCTGAACAGTTGTGCGCATCATCCAGGCCATAGTACATGCTAATGAATGTGTATAGCTATTTCCAGAGTCCAGCTGTTACTTTCTAAAACGTCGAACTAGCCTCTGGGTGAATTTATGACAGCTTCTTCCTGGCTGTCAATAGTCTAGTCCATACCCTCAGAAACCATGTTACTCTCTGATTTATGGGTGTTGGGTGTTTGGTTGGTTTGGGAGGGTGAGGGTGTTGTTTTTTTATTGTTGGTCTTGTTATTGGTTTGGTTTGGTTTTCTTTTGTTTGGGTTGGTTTTGGTTTTTTTGTTTTCTTTTTTGATTTGGGGGGGTTGGTTGCTGGGTTTTTTTATAGTTGGGTTTTGGTTTGGGGGTTTTTTTTCTGGTAGTAGGTGCAAAGAAGCATTAGACTGCACAATTCAGCCTTACAGGTTTCCTTAAAGAGCAAGGCAGGCTATGCCAGAGTGTCCATGGTCCATTTATTGGTCCCTAGGCATTGCCAAAGCAGCAGATATCAGCCTAAGATGGGCTAGAACCTGCCCATAGCAGGATTATGGGATGTTCTGTCATGTTAGAGCTGCATGCTAAAAGTTATGGCTAATGCAGCCAAGATTAGCTAACAACTAAAAGAAAAAAGTTACTGTCAATGTAGTATGCTTTCTTAGAGTAAGTGGGTATGTTTCATCCTGCAACATGAGTTTCAGGAGAGCATTTTGCACAACTGACCTTTTCAGCTTTACCTTGGGGCCTTTTGTCCATCAGGAAATGAGGCTTTTCCTGCCTGTCAGGATACAGCCTTGTTTACCAAAGCATTAAACAAGACGATGATGTTGATATAGGAAATGTCCCATGTGAGGTAAGTGTCAATAAAGCCAGAATTTGGCCAGAAGACAAGAACAACATTTTTTTTATAAACATAGTCTCAGTTCCATTTCTGTGAGTGCTGATGGAAGACATAGTGTATGCTGTTTCAGGAGCAAGCACTGATTTGGTGTGTTGGGGTTTGGAGAAGCTGTCAGAGGATCTGTACTACATCATAGCTGTTTCATACTAAAAGAATGATCCTGATCCACCTAACAATATTTTGAAAACATCCTTACTAGAAAATGGCCCAAGATACACAGTACCTTTGCATGTAAAATGGCTCTGTAGGAAATGCAGAGATGAGAAATGGGTAGGAAGAGCTGTAATACAGCAGTGTAGCAGGGCACAGATGTGTACTAATGGTACGTATTGCTCTTAGATTCTAATGAAAGTCCATGGATTAAACTGGTAATGAAAAATACATATGATTACTACTACAATGTGGAAACCGAGGAAGGCACCTGTGATGCTCCTGAAGGAGTTGTACCAAAAACTTCATGGTTAACTGGTGAAGAAATCCAGGTAGGTGGCTGAAACATTTGCTTTTATTGCAAATGCTGCATAAGCATTTGAGAGAGATAGCAAAATATGGCAATATCAAGGACTGAAGCTGTGCTGGGTGAGACTGAAGATCACTTTAGCTGCTCTGACAATAGCAGCAACTTGAGGCTAAGCAGTGTTAGCACAGCTTCCTGTCTGATGTCTGACAACGCTTCAGGAACTTCCTAAATGGAAGTTACAGCATACTTTTTAACAACCACGAGCAGATAAACTGGTGGAGGGAAGTCTGATTGATTCCATATCCTTTTATATTTTTTTAGACTTCACATTGACCTGTGACAAGGAATTTCATGATGTACCTGGGGCCACATGGAAGCACTGTTTTATGTTTAAATCTAATTATCTGACAGCATTTCTGTATCTCCAAGTTCAAGAGGATGAGTGTGATACTTGAACTTTCTTACTGTAGAGGTTTTGCGTTAACATGAAATATAGCTTAGAACAAATTACATCACACAAGCTTCTGCACAACTGGGGGTTTTATTTGCAGTGGTAACAAAGTGGCTTTTCCTTCATACTGATTAAAATCTAGTGGTAAATCAGAGAAGCTCAGATGGGACGAACAGAAGCTATACATATGCGGGCTGGACTACATGATCTCCAGAGGTCCCTTACAACCCTAATGATTCTGTGATATGATGGAGACAATACAGAACAAATTCCAGGATGGTTTTGGCATGAGGGTTTTTTTCTGTTAAATGACCTTTTTCCATGATCTCTTAACAGAGCATTGTTGGGCAAGTTACAGCAGATTACAACCGAGAGCAGCTGTGGCTTGCTAATGAAAATCTGATTGTTCAGCTGCAAGCCCGAGCAAGGGGATTCTTAGTCAGGAAACATTATCAGGAGAGAAAAGCATACCTTCAAAACCAGGAACCATCTGCCATCAAAATACAGGTATTTTTCTAGAAAGAGAAGGTAATAGGGGTTGGGTAACTTTCTGCATGTGACGTGTGATCTGTCTGATTCCTACCACTAATAAGATTTTCAAATAGGTGTCTCTGACTGTTTTCATTATCAGCAGTTCAGACTTGTACATCTGCAAATATGTTCTTGTCCTCATTGGAGAAATTGTGCTTTAAAATAGCAAATAATCAGTTTTAAAAGAATGGCTTATATCCACCTGCAATCTAAGTTACTTCAGCGAAGAAATTCAGAAATACATAGCCCTGGCTTTCTTTTCAGGTGTTGAGGTTTTGCACAGTACACCTAACTATGCACAGTACAACATCAGAACATATTTGCTGCATATTGAAGCAAAAATTCTTTGGCAAAGAATGGCTTAGGAAATACATTCCTTTCTAGACTATCCCCAGTTGGAAGTGGTTTGCCTCTGCTCTTTGAAGTCATAGCTGGGTAGGGAGTGGCAGCCACTCTGGTGTTCTCAGGTTCTGGCAGAGTTTCTTAGATATCTTTAGTTTGCTGACCTCTGAAAGGAGTAGAAAGAAAACTTTCTACTGAGAGTGTGAACATGGACAAATGCATGCACAGTGGTTTTAAATGGTGAAACAGCCACCTTCCACTGGAAGCAATTTGTACCAGTCTTGAAAAACGATCATTCAACCTTCCCAAAAATTATAGAAGAATGTACAACTAATGTTTTCCAATCTGTAAGAATTTGATTTAACAACTCATCATAATAACTAATTTTACCACTATCAGCTGTCATTGGGATTGGCTTTTCTTTTTCTGGCATGGTGTCTAAGCCCAGCAAAGGACTGTGCTGCTCTTTGAGAAATTCAGGGTCTGCGAACAGGTTCAAAAATATAGAGAAATGTAGATAAATTAATCTCTGATTGTTTTCTATGGGCATTAAAATAGAAATGGGTTGTGAAAAGACAGTAAGTAGAAGACAAAGCTGGAGTCACTGGCTGGATAGAGATAAGAGGCAAAATATGAAAAGGAGGTAAGAATATCTGTTATTCCTATCATCAATTCCTTGCCAAGAGTTTGCTTCTGAGCTAGCAAAGAGAGGGCTGAGTGAGGGAATTAGGAGGTTGTAATCTGTGGTAGACCCTGAGTGGCCCTGGAAGACCAGAGACTTGGGAAGGAGTCCAGGCCAAGAACAATGAGGGACCAGCTAGGCAGGGAACCACTACCAGCAAGGTAGGGAACAGCTTTTGGTTATAATGGGCAAGAGCTGGCAGAGTATTCCCTGTGTGGAATGAAGCCAGTGGCAGGGATACTAAAGGATATGGGTGTACTGAAGATAAGAATAAGGATTCTTATCTTTTTCCCTCCCTTCAGGGAAGGGAAGGAAATGGCATTGGAAAACAAACTTTGTGCTAAGATTGGCCAAAATTAACATGAAATGTATCAGAGCATCTAAAAATATAAAGGCAAGCTTGCTTACACCTTAGTTAGCTTTTTACCACAGTGGCAGTTTTTATCTATGTGATAAACACTGTTGTTAATTTTCGTGTAAATATGCATTTCTTATTAGTAGTAATGGCCTCCTGTTTTTATAAAAAAGGCTTTCTGGAAAGGATACAAACAAAGGAAAAGCTATGTGGACAGACTAAAGGTGCTTCAAGGCAATGTTGCTGCTATTGTTAAGGTAAGATCCCCCTATGTTTTGGTGCCTGAGTATGTTTTATCCCTTGGCTTGGTCCTTCACCACCTAGAAATTGGAAACTAGGAACACAAACAGGAGGGACTCGTGTTCCAGAAATCTGGATGGTGTTGAAAGTTGTTTAAATGACAGCTTAAGTAAATAACTTCTTGAAATTTCTGTGTTTGACTTCTATCAGGTTTTCCTGAACTTGAGTGTCTCCTAAGAGATTTCCTTACACTTCCCTTCCCATAACAATAAATTAGAAAATATTTGAGTTGACAGTGTGCTACGTTTCATTAAAAGCTGTCAAATCTGTCTGAAAAGTGTTCACTTTTCTGAGATGCTGATGGGATACTATGTCATGAGTATTGCAGATGGGATATTGATCTCCTGTGTGTGAAGGAGACTGGTTTACAACTGAAAGGTCAGGCTTGAAGGTAGAAATTACTTCCAAAGATAATGTTACACACAGGTGGTAGACCCTCAGACTCAACTTGCTGTTTCAGTCAAAGCCCATTAATCTGGTCACTGGACTGTAGGAGCTCAGTGGTACAGTCATCTATGGCGCGAAGTATGAGAAAAGCATGCCTGCATAAGAGAACTGTCAGAAGCAAGTTTAAAACATACACGTGCAAACAGTTTGTGCAGTGTCTGTTTTTTATTTTATTTAAATTTCAGATTCAGTCATGGGTCAAAATGTGGCTAGCAAAGAGAGCTTACAGGAAACGTCTGCAATACTTCAAGGATCATGTAAGTCCTTTTCCTCCATTTTGGATGTGAAGCACCAAAATAGGGTAATATGACTGTACAAGCAGTTTGGGAATCTCAGGAAAGAGCTTCTGCACTGTGTGTTTCTGAGCAGAAATGTGTCATAACTAGACTTTTGCCTAAACTTGGTCCCTTTCAGAATGATGAAATTGTGAAGATACAAGCATTTCTCAGAGCAAACAAAGCCAGGGAGGACTACAGAACACTAAGTAAGTGTTAACAGTAGAATGCTGCATGTTTGGAGAGAAGTATGATACTACGTTCAATTTTTTTGTTAGTTTGTTTTTAAACCTTCACCTAAGGTTTCTCAATCTCCTATTCCCCTTCAAAAGCAGATGTAAGTGTTTGCAAACCAGTTGTTTTACAGCTGAAAACACTTTGGTTAACTGTACTTACACAGTATGACAAAAATACTGTTCTAACTGGCATAAACGTCCCTCTGAAGTTCCAGTTTTCTGAGGGTTTTTGGAGCATTGTGTCCACAAACAGTATTACGTCAACTAACAAGCCTATTTACTTCAACTATAGTTGGTGCTGAAAATCCACCCCTGACTGTCCTGCGCAAATTTGCTTACCTCTTGGACCAAAGTGACTTAGACTTCCAAGAAGAACTAGAAGTAACAAGGTTAAGGGAAGAAGTGGTTACAAAAATTCGATCCAATCAGCAGCTGGAGAAGGACTTGAACTTAATGGATATAAAGATTGGACTGCTGGTGAAAAACAGAATCACTCTTCAGGTTAGCAGCCTCTGTTCAAGCTGCCTTGTAAACATGCACCGAGCACTTCTGTGTGTTGAAGGAGCTCAGGATTACACAATCACAGCACAGCTGAGGCTTGAAGGGACTTCTGGAGGTCCTCTGGTCCAACCCTGCTGCTCAAGCAGGGTGCCCAGGACCATGTCCAGATGGCTTTTGAGTATCTCCAAGACTGGAGACCTTCCAGCCTCTCTGAGGAATCTGTGCCAGTACTTAACAATTAGTTAAAATTCTCCTGGTAAATTAAGCACTTTTTTTGCATATCATAAGTAATCTTGTCAAAATACCTTGCAGTAGATATTGTTCTGTTGTCCTGAGTGGTATGGTAGTCTGCTACTGAATGTCACTCTGTTTTGCTACTTGTGGACAATAGTAATTGCTTGGCAGACTTCAGTAGATTGGAGTAGGCTTCTCTGATCATATTAGAGGTTGTTCACTGTTAAGTAAATGATGAACGAGCCTGTACATGAGATCAGGTTTCCCAGATGGTCACTGTTGCCAAGCCATACTGGTGACAAGATAAAGATGTTCAAAAGACTGGTTAGTGAATGGAGCAGCAAAATATACAAAGTTGCTAATAAAGGCCCTTAGAGAAATACTGCATTTAGCATGGTTTGGAATATTTTAATTTTTCCAATTTGCCTTTTTTGTGAATATATAATGTAGACTTTTGATCATCTGTCTGCAGGATGTGGTACTGCACAGTAAGAAACTTAACAAAAAGAGCAAAAGTCAGCTGGAAGAGATGGTTATGGTTGACAAACAGGGTATCAAAGGTTTGAGTAAAGAGAGAAGAAAGAAACTGGAGGCTTATCAACATTTATTCTACCTTTTACAGGCAAGTATTAATGTAAAAAATTGACAAGGCAGGAAATAGCTGAGGAAAAACTACAAATACATTGCTTGCTTTGTTTTAGTGATTGTAGTAGTGATTATGAAAAGATTTCTGCTGCAGCAAATACTATGATCAACTTCTAGCATTTCCTGGAATTGAGAGAATCCTTCATGTCTTTACAACATCCAAAAAATATAGCTGTTTTTTCTTGAATAACTTCAGTCTGTACTGATGCCAGAGAAGAAAGTTTTCCTCCATATCACTTTTAGTCCCTATAAATTACTCTTTCTATTATTGTGCATGATATGTGGTGGAAAGGAAGCTGTCTGCTGCGCAGCTGACGGTATATAATGTATCTGTTCTTGTGCTCTTTTTATCTCATCTCACTGAAGTTTTTCTAGAAGAATTTTAGATCTTTGTGGGGCAGATGCTTTCTAATACGTAAGTGGACATGTACGTCATCTTGGTAGATAGTCATTGTCATTGGATCCATTGTCATTTGGTAAAATGTCATTGTCATTGGATCCATAGACCTAATGCACAGAGGTACTGTTCAGATACTACAAATAAAATCCTTACTGGTGTTACTCATAGAAATCTAATTGTGCAATATTCAATGTTTCTTATGCCTCAGGATTTGGAAAAAAGTAAAGCCAGTGTGGAAAAGTGACATATGCAAGAATGAACATAAATGCTTTTAGTGATAATGGAAATGTAAAGAGCACTGCCCCCTAAGTAGGGGTCGTTTGTCCTGGACCAGTACTATTTTAGTCATTTGTTTTTTTCACAGACTAATCCCACGTATCTGGCGAAGCTGATTTTCCAGATGCCACAAAACAAATCAACCAAGTTTATGGATACAGTCATCTTTACTCTATACAACTATGCCTCCAATCAACGAGAAGAGTATCTCCTTCTCAAACTCTTCAAAACTGCTCTAGAAGAGGAGATAAAGTATGTGCACTCAAAGGAACACTTTAGATGATTTGTGTTGCAGGCAGTTCAATGAATACTTCATACCTAAAAGAATCTGATGGTTAATCTTTAAGATGTTGTAAAGTTAGGTACATACTTTTGTTATTAGAGGAAATTGTTTTCAGTGTAACTTCTTTGTTAACTCAAGGTATTTTCAATTCAGGAAAAAATCTTTCTATGGTGGACAATATTTTTGTATGAAAAGATAGCTTGGAAAAAAGCAGACACTGAGGATTCTTGCTTTTGTGCTTGAGTATTTAAGCATAGAGAAAGTCTTTCCTTACTCAGTGTAAATGTTCTGTAAGTGGAGAGTAGTGGCTTGTTATCCTAAAACAAGAAAAACTTATTTTACGCCCTTAAGAGGTATCTGCTGAGCAGGTATTTGCATCTGTATGAGATATATATTAGCTGCCACTAGCTATGCTATGTTCCAGGGACTTAATTATAACACATATAGAATTCAGGTAGTAATTTCTATAACCTTATTTTATTTGAAAGCCTAAGAAATAGACTGTATAAACCTGTTTCAGCATAGAAATGGGATAATTTTAAATGTGTGGGTTTTGAAAACATGGATAAAGGCATACATAAGTCAGATCTGAACTAATCTGTTCTTGATACAGCTCTAAGGTAGACCAGATACAGGATATCGTTACTGGAAACCCCACAGTTATTAAGATGGTCGTCAGCTTCAACCGAGGTGCTCGTGGACAGAATACTCTGCGCCAGCTCCTGGCCCCTGTGGTGAAGGAGATTATGGAGGACAAGTCCCTCATTATAAACACTAGTCCTGTGGATGTATACAAGTCATGGGTAAACCAGCTAGAAATGCAGACTGGTGAGGCTAGGTGAGTGAGGAAGCTGGACATACTGTACTATTTCAGCACTTGAGGGAACCCTCATTTCTGCTCTCCCTTTCCTTCTCTGACAAATTGTACTTGTGCCCATGCATTCCTTCCCTACCTTCCTGCAGTACAATGAAAGTTTGGGGGGAGAAGTGCTTAAAAAAAACGTACTTTAACTGATTCTGAATGACAAAGGGATACTTTCCTGGTCATAACTTCAAAGTCAATTACTTAATCATTATAAATGTAGTAGGCTATGGCATGGAAGAATTTATAGCCTTTCCCCCAGTTTTTATAATAGCATGCCATTAGTGTTCCAGGCTTTTGAGGAGCTATGCTGGACGGGGACATGGAGATGCATGCTTTAAATTAGGGTTCGCCTTTTGTAATTAAGGGAAGGTACATCATGGTGTGTGCACCCCCACCTAAACAAACTACCATCCTCTAAAACCATAATGCTAATGCATCAAAGACTTTTGTAACTTAGCTAACTTCAGCTTTATTTGTCTGACTTTCTTTTCTTTTCTTTTTTTTCCTTCTGTTCACTGATGGCATTTACAAAGTTAAAAAAAATATCCTAAAATATGTTTAGCCTGGTTTAATATCTGTTTGCTTTACAGCAAATTGCCATATGATGTAACCACAGAACAAGCACTGACACACACAGAAGTGGTTAATAAACTGGAATCATCAATTCAGAGTCTGCGAGCAGTAACTGACAAAGTTCTCACGAGCATATTCTCCTCTCTCAATATGATGCCGTAAGTGCTGATTTAGGAAGCTGCAGTTCATGTGCACAGTGAAGCTCCGCTTGAAACTCACTGATGGGCATCCTCTCGAATTACATGGTTTCTGATACGCGCCTCTCGAATGATTTCCCCAGTAGAGGGAGTGGTTTCTCCACTTCTACTCTGCTTTATCAGCCTCATGAGCGACTCCTTGTTTTTGAAACTTCTGTTTTCCATTATCTCCTCATTTTATGTTTTAAGTGGCTATAAAAAAAACCAACCAGTTACTTGTCTGACTAGAATAATTGTTTTATGTTTTGTTTAAGTCTTTCCAATATTCTTCCTTTTCATCTGTTCTACATGTAGTTATGGAATGAGATACATAGCCAAAGTTCTGAAGAGCTCACTTCATGAGAAATTCCCAGACGCAACAGAAGATGAACTACTAAAGGTAGACGCCTGAGGGAAAACTGTCAGCAGCTTGTAATGCCAAAAAGGAGTTTTATTAATATTATTAAGGGGGGGGGGGGGTATTAAGCATTCTAAGGAACTAAGAAAACCTGCATTCACTGAAGGAACTTGGCATTTCTTGGGTTGCAAAGGGGTATTCTTAGAAGGCTGAAGTTTATCTGAATCATCTTGGGGTTTGTATTTGTACTATGGTCCTTACCATCATCAGTGCTTTCATAGAGAAGACTGGTCATATACCTCACTGCTGCTCCTTTCCCCAAGTTGTTAAATAATATGTTACTAAGAACACCTGCATTCACTGAAGGAACTTGGCATTTCTTGGGTTGCAAAGGGGTATTCTTAGAAGGCTGAAGTTTATCTGAATCATCTTGGGGTTTGTATTTGTACTATGGTCCTTACCATCATCAGTGCTTTCATAGAGAAGACTGGTCATATACCTCACTGCTGCTCCTTTCCCCAAGTTGTTAAATAATATGTTATCTAAAAAAAAAAAAAAAAAAATTAGAATCACAGAATGGTTTGGGTTAGAAAGGACCTTAAGATCATCTAGTTCCAACCCCCTTGCCATGAGCAGGGACACCTCACACTAAACTATGTTGCATTAATATTATAACATAAATACAATGAGGAATGGCTCTAAAAATGAACTGGAAGTAGATCATTACATTACATTTGAAGATGCTTATAAGAGCTGTAGGAATGACATTTTTACAGACTGAAAAGTGTGATGGTACTGACACGCTGGCCATTGCTAACCAACCACAGCCAGGGTGACTCTTCAGAGGGCTTAAGGAAATTGCTCCACCAGCCTTCCAGACAGCTGAGATACTGTCAGCTCTCTCAAATTAGAGTTATTTGCACTTCAGTGAAGATGCTTTCATTAGTGTTTAATGACATGGTTCTAAAATCACAAGCCATTCATTTTAATGGTACTTCCCCATTATTCTTCAAAAAGATATAGTGCAGTGTTTAAAATATATATTTATGGCGCACAGAGGGCTTCAAACACCTCAGCTGAAAAAATAATTCTGCTTTTGTATGGTTTAACAATGAATTGGAAAACCTTGCATGCAGCATTTATGCGGTCTTCCTGTCCCATCACTCCAGCAATACAGACTGTCATTGCACAATTTATGGAGAAGAAAAAAAAAAAGGCAAGCAAATAGAACATAAGGCACCCAATTGAAAGCCTTTAAATGTGCAAATGGAAGTTCTGCATGTGACTACACATAAGCTGAGGCAAATTGCAGAAAGAAAAGTCCTGCCTGTTTCTGAGATCAGGAATGATCTGCTCTCTAGTCTTTAGGGATGCATGTTGTCCTCATGAGAAACAGTGGGTCCCTTGTCAATGGATGTATTAAATGCTGGCAGACATCTGTAGCACTTCAGAGAATAAGCCTCTGGAGACGCACCTTGCAAAATCTAGAAGAAAGAGTTGTATTTGTCTTTGTATGCAACTCAATGCCTTGCATTAGCTGACCTAAAGCCAGCACCAAATTCAGACATGATTATAAAAGTCTGTAATTGACATTCACAAAGGTGTTGCAAGAGGCACATGTTGTAAAAGACCACAGGCTCTTTGTTAGCTACATGATAACATGTATGTCTTAGGGGTTCTTCTAGCACTGGTTCCACTGGTCTAATTCAGAACTAGAAATGATCATGTTTTGCTAAATGTAATTACCATGTGTGAAGGGAAGATCTCCTTATTTTTCCTTTTAGATTGTTGGCAACCTCCTGTACTATCGCTACATGAACCCTGCCATTGTTGCTCCTGATGGTTTTGATATCATTGATATGACAGCTGGGGGCCAGATACACCCTGACCAGAGGAGAAACCTAGGTTGTGTGGCAAAAGTCCTTCAGCATGCTGCATCTAACAAACTCTTTGAAGGAGAGAGTGAACATCTATCATCTATGAACACTTACCTCTCACAGACGTACCAGAAGTTCAGGTATGCAAAGCCCTCACAAATACCTATACAGTAAGAGCTCTCCTTTAGGATGAGTAGGGCAGGTAGACTCCTTGTCTATGGAAATTCCTTGCTCAGAGTTAAAATGTTGTGTGATCTGCCATAGAAGACATCCTCACTGCTGAGGAAGTTGAAGCAGGAGTAACAGGATGTATTTCTGCTTGAACATTATATTGAGAATTGATCACCTCTGCTAGCTTGGTTGCAGTAAGGTTTTCTTACTGTGAACACAGATTGTAAGAGCAGCATGGGGTAATACATTATCCAGCAGAAATAATGTGTTCTTTTGCTTGGGAGGACAGTTGAATGTTTTGTCTGAAGAAAATTATTATTGGACAGGAAAAAGTTGTGGTTTCTGTTTTTATCCTTTCATCTTTGCAGAGAGATTCCACGCAGATTTTATTCTTTCATCTTGCACACTCATAGGAATTTGCATGTTCTGCTATGCTCTGGGACAAAAGTTCTTTGGGATTATTGCCCATCTTTTGGGGTGATTGCTATTACTAGCTTAAACTGTTGTTGAGTCTTGAGACAAACTCACTTTCAGAACTTCTGTCTTTAGTATCTGCCCTTCATGAAATTAAATGCACTGTTCATAGACTGGGTTTCCTTGATAAATCAGCCATGAACACAAAGACACTTAAACTTAGTCATTTTGTTTAATGAAGTACTTAAGGGCATGCCATAATCATGGAGAAACAATAGAGTAGAAAGTGTTATAGTAAGAATAACAAATGCTAATGAAAGGGCCCTAGTTGGTCCTTTGATTGCTACAAAAGGAAGAATTCCTCTCTTAATTAAGCTAACTTTATACAAAACTGGGTCTTTGGGTGCCTGTGCTCTGCACTTTAACTAAACCCTCCTTAGTCACTAACGATGGCTGCTCTCAGCTGCGTGTTCCCCTTGTACTCACCCAGCAACTGCAATTGCAGTATTAGCTATGTTAAAAGCTACCAACCCTGCCTAGATCTTTTACTGTGCATTTATGAACTTGTGCAGGAATTTGTCTAAACCCTTCTTAAGTCTTTCAGATTATCTGCCTCCTCAACCTCCTCCTGTAGCAATATTCAGAAGTTTGCTACCTGTTGGTTAAAACAATGCTTCCTTTCCTTAATTTGAAGATAGTATTTTTCTGCCAGTTTCATTGCAAACCCCTTTGTCCCATAATTGTGGGATTTGATGAATTTTGCACCTATCTCATTCAATGTCACTGTGATTTTGTGCAACTTGATCATATCCCTCAGCTTTTACTCTCCAAACTAAGGAATCCCAGCCCCTTTTGTTTCTTTCCTGTCCAGGAAAGATGGAACACTTGGTCATTTGTATTGATGTGTAAATGCATTGCCTCCAAAAGTTTCCTTCAGAGACTAAATGTAGATTGCAGATTGTAAGACAAATATAACACATGGGGAGAGACTTTTTAGCAGGGCCTGTTAGAATAGGATGAGGAGTGACGGGTTTAAATTAAAAGAGGGGAGATTCAGGCTGGACATGAAGAAGATATTCTTCACAATAAGGGTGGTAAAATACTGGCACAGGTTGCCCAGAGAAGTGTTGGATGCGCCATCCCTGGAGACATTCAAGACGAGGCTGGATGTGGCCCTAGGCAACCTGATCTAGATGAAGTTGTTCCTGCTCATTCCAGGGAGGGATGGGTTAGATGATCTTTGAAGGTCCTTTTCAATGCAAACTATTCTATGATTCAGTATGTCGAAGACTTGACTGTGTGTGTGTTTGTTTTATACAGGCTAACTGAAGTGACTTTATAGGGGGCAATTACAATTCTTTCTCGTTTTCTCTCAGGAATTTTTTTCAAGCAGCGTGTGATGTTCCTGAACCAGAGGAGAAATTCAATATTGATGAATACTCTGACATGGTGACCCTTAGCAAACCTGTCATATATATCTCCATTGAAGAAATTATCAATACCCATTCTGTAAGTCAATGAGAATACACTAGTCAACAGACTAACGTATAGATTATTAAACACTTGCAACGAACACTCTTGGGGAAAGGCTTAGTGTTCACCCTTCCTTTAGAAATAACTTCTTCAGTTCATCTCTAAAATAGTCCGAAATTGAGCATTTGCATTTTTCCTAAAAGACTGCTTCCATGGAAAAGCACCATCTTGAATAATAATTATAATATAACATTTTCTGGATGAGAGGAACATTTTTGTTCTAATCTAGTGTGACATTCCTAACTTATTTGTATTTACTAAACGTTTTCCTGTCTTGGCTAAGAAAGTGACACTAATTTGAAGAAGCTCCTTTGTCTCTGGGAATAGAGGAAAAGTCAGTGTATATCATGACTCTGGCATTCTGTTATCTCTTTTGTTGGAAGCAGAAGCAAAAGTCTGATTTAGATGGACTGAAGCTGTGGCATCCTGCCAGTTTTTTACCATGGGTAAAGAAAAGATTAACTGCAGTCTTTAGTATGACTCATTAGGGTCTAAGTTAAATGTCTACCACATGGCCCTCCTAAAGCTGGGATATTGCTATCTGTTTCCTGGCTTGCAAACTGTCCCCTGTGATGCCCTCATCTCCCTCTCCAAGCTTCCCAAATAAACACCACCCTCAAAAGCAAAAAATCTCACAAGAACCTCCCATTAGTAACCTGGTTTGCTAAAAAACATGTATTCTGTATTGTCTATTCTTTCTCTTTTTTAAGGCATAGACCTATGCTTGCATGTTTATGATCAGAGGTTACATTTAAGCACTAGTCTTGGCCAAATATTCCTTTTAGTGGGTCTACTGCATGCCTAAGGTGTTATTTGATCCTAATGTGATGAAGTACTGCTATTTAATTTTATATTAGCTGATAAAATACCCTATAAAATATAAGGTAATTTAATGAAAATAAATTGCCAAACAAATGAGGTCAAGCAAATGTTCTTTTTTGATGCCATGATTATGCGCGTTTGCCTGCCTAGAGGAAGCACATCATTAGGTCTGAAGGCCACACATTATTTATAGGTGCAGTGTATTTACCAGGAGTTCCACCAAAACTCCTCCAGCAGCCTGAGTCTTCATCTGAGTTGCCTTCTCCCACTGCACCTTCCCTGCAAATGTTAATTAAACTTTCTATTCTGCTCATGCAGCTCAAAAAATAGTTTGAGAAAAAGGAGATGCAAGAGGGAGATGTCTTTTGTCATGTGTTGCTCAGCTTCAGAAAAAGTTCTCATATTTGCCCTCTGCTATCATCTCCTATGGCAAGCGCCTACAGTTAATTTTCATTGCACTCCTCTGCTGGCTGTAGCTGGAATGAGGGATGTTGCATTCATCAGCATTGCTTTTTGGTGCTTCTCAGTGTATCTCTTGTCTTTGCCCCAAGTTTTTGTCCTGTGAGTGTCTTTTTCATTCTGTGCTTGTATAGCATCAAGCGCAGTGGAGTTCTAATCAGTGCACACAGTGTTTCTCAGCAGGTCTCACAGTATCATAGTCAACATTATGTACAGTGTGAGGTAGCTACTGCACATAAGAGAAACTTGTTTTAAACAATTTAATGGTCATGGGCTTGTAATGCTCAGTTCTGTCCTGTAAGTACAGCTGAAATGCCTTTCTCTTCTAGATGTAGGCTTCTTAGTTGCCAGTAAGTTTCCAGTAACCGGTAACTTTTGACTACAACTTGCAGTTTTTAAAATACTTCAAATCCTGGATTTTTTGCCTACTGTGCATGCTTTGCTACAGCTAAATTCCAGTAACACTTGGTGACACTCTTCTTCCGTTGGTTCTCCAAGTAAGGAACATTGCTTCAATAGCGAATGGACTGTTGAATCTAGCAGTCACTAATGCTGCTGGCTTTATCTAACTCAGCATGAGGTTACTTGTCTCATAGATAGTGAAAGCCTGTTTTCAAGAAAATGTTACTGCCCTGTTCATGCTCTTTAACTTCACTTCCAGTATTTTTGTGGGTTAAAGTTTTACAGATGTGCCCAGGAGCAATGGAAGTTATAGTGAATATGTTCACAAATCTCCTGCAACGTCCATTAGAAATTGTGCAGCAGTTGCTGCATAGCTGGTTTCTCACTTTCCTTTCAGAAATGACTGTTTCATATCACTGTTGCTGTTGTAAGTACTGGAATAGCTATATAGAAAATAGGTATCCCCACTTTGGAGATGATTGCCAGACAAGCACAGCAAGCTGTTTTCCAGCAAAAGCAATCCTAAATTCATAGTCCAGAACTGAACATGCTTCCCCACCCTGGGTCCTCCATAATCCTGTTCAAACCAGGTCTGTTTTTCAGCATTGAGTCTCCAGATTTATCTACAAGTACAGAGACACTGGGAATGTTTGAGGGGGAAGAAGGAAGAGTGGAATCTTTATTTTATTTTTTTTTATAATTACTTCATTTACATTTGTTTATAGCTACTGTTGGAACATCAGGATGCCATTGCCACTGAGCCAAATGACCTGCTGAATGAATTGCTGGAAGGACTGGGACCTGTTCCTGATGTAGAGTCTTTCCTTGGTATGCTGTTCTTCACCCTTATGGTTAACTTCACTAAATGGGGCAGAATTAAATACAATTAAATACTCTTGTGTCTCATAGGTACAGCTTCCTCATTTACTATAGAACTGTTTTCTGAACACTTTCAGTAATATCGCTCGTTATAGTTGAAACTTCATCTAATTTGCAATATTCACTCTAAAGATAGATGTGATTCAAAATCCAAACATTGATTTTTCAAGTAGAATGATCCATTTGGGCTCAAATTGCAGAGAGAAAGCAAGTTATTTTTATTTTTTTTATAATTTCATGATCTTAAGATTTGTTACTATTGGCTAAGAACTTGGAAAATGCGCACAGAAGAGAAATTTTTTTTTATTTTGAGACGACTTATAAAAAATTTAAGTTTTAAAAAAATATGTAAGTTTATTAGAGTTGTAAGGAATAAATGTGACTGATATTTTTGTTAATTGTTGTAACATGTGAACTGTTTAGAAAGTACCTAGGACACCATGGATTATACCAGCTTCCAAGTGAATAGCCTGTTAACATAGCTGCTACTCTTTCATTTTCCATTATCACTGCATTTTTGGACTAATTATTATCATCATTACTGTATTGTTCTTTAAGAAGATGACTTGTGAGTCTCCTGCACACCAGTAGCTTGAAAAGCAAGAATTGGTGGCAATTCCAAAATATTCTAACTGGACATAAATAACTGGCTTATGGTTCTGACTGTTCAATATAAAACAAACCAAAACAAACCAAAACAGAACAACTACCTCCCAACAACAACAAAAAAACCCTGCTTCTAAATGGTAGGAATGCATGTGCTGTTTAATAAAATTCTAGGTTTATTAACTAGGTTCTTGTTTGCTTTGTGCATTGGATCATGGGAGAACTGGGAAACTTAGAGTAAAAGATATTTCCTTACAGGGGAAGGAGCTGTTGATCCCAATGACCCCAACAGGGCAAGCACACTGAATCAGCTTGCAAAAACAGAGATATCACTGTCTCTAACAAGCAAATATGAGTTACGAGAAGGTGAAGATCAGGATCTCAAAAGCCTGATGATAAAGTAAGTTTTGCTCAAAACCCTGTATTTTGCCGATGCTTTCTCTTTTGTGTTTTAAAAGTTACTTCTACCCTGCTGTCCAGACTAAGTGCATTTTTGAGGTACTGAGTGCACTCAGTTTTCAAAAGTCAGTTTCTGTTTGGTCTTACTCAAACTTTCGCAAAAGTCAGAGAAAGTGCCAGTCCTTCCAGAAAGCTTGCAGAAAGATAAACATGCTGCCAGTTGTGTTCTGGAGCATGACTGGATCATTACCTAGCCTAGTAAGTGCTTTTCCATGAAGTTGTAAAAGCATTCTGCTTTAAAAACCATAGCCCTGGGAAAGAAGAGCTGAAAAGCTGTCTAGCCTTTTAAGGGATGGACAGTATCACACTGTCCTCTCCTCCCCCTCAAATGAAAACACTTCCCTAACATACTGCCATCACTCATTTGAACCGGATGCAACTGTCACTTCAGCAGG